TAAACACGCTTTGACGTCCTCGACGAGGCATTGATACGGGAGTGGGCTGGATAATCGAATTGGTGGTGCGGAGCAAATTTTTTTTCCTCAGTGCACACATATCAGACTAAATTAGGGGATGTAGGGCGCGTGCGGGTGCAGCATCTCTGCAATCAGAGAAAGGTCATGCGGACGCAAGTTAATCCAGGTGAATCGTGCTCCTCAAAACGGCAGCTGATCTACCGTTTCTTTCTTGCCTTCTCCCCCCAAAAGTACCCCCAGCATCATGGCGCAGATGAATTCTATCTCGGCGAGTGCAGCACCCAACGACGTGGCTGCTGTAGTCGGCGGAGCTGGAAACTCTGGCCCATATAGCTCTCGACCTCGTTCAGCGTATCGATGTCGTCAAAGGTAGTTTGTCATTCTTGGTATCCAGCTCACTGATTCATTCGGCAGGATCTCTCCCGATGAAGGTCGACGACATAGTCGCCAGCGCTCTCTCCGAGATCCTCGATGGCCCGGGAGATCAATCTAGCTTGGGCACCATTGACGGTAGGCTTTATCGTATTCAGCCCGCGCAGTTGTTGATCGTGCTTTACTTAGTATCTGACTATGCGACGACCTCCGGTAAGTGCCCGATCTACCCTATCAGTTCATGGGCTAACGCTACGCAGACTCTGTCGAGGGCTTTACAACCCTGCCCGCCCTTTCTCCCGAACAAGTCGCAGCGGGCTTTGCGACGCCGGCTGATGTGTCCTACCAAGTTGTCACTGTCGGCCGCGAACCAGGCATTTACGCCAGCGCGTGCGTTGCTCTTGCTTTTGAATGCTATTTCTAATACAGCCAATGTGTAGAAGCGACGCAACGCGACTTGTCGAGGGCATTCCCGGCAATGCTCGCACCAAGGTCAAAGGGTTTGCCGCCGCGTTAGCTGTTTACAAGGCGGCTTTCAAAGGAGGCCATGTCAAGAAGGTGATTGAGGCCCATACGGTGGAGGCGGACCCGGCCCCGGCAGTGTGAGTACCCTAGTCGAATAATGCCATCTCCCTTTCTGATTGTATAATGCCATCTCCCTTTCTGATTGTGCGTAGGCCAGGGCCGAGCACCTCGCAGCCAGGGCCGAGCACCGCACCAGTCGCACAGGGTAGCGCCCGTGTATTCGAGAAGGCCCCAACGTATGTTTGTCTTCCTTTTGATTTGTAATACTTCGTGACTCGTTGTCAGCCCCGGTCATGGTCCACTCACCATCCACCTCGAGCTGCCCGACATCCTCTGCGCAGACTGCACCTCAAAGCTGCAATGGGTCCATGTCCTCAAGGCTTTGACTAGTCGCTCGATGTAGATCGTGTATACGATAAGCGGTGGTGATTGAATACATGTGTTACACTAAGATCTGCGTGATTGATTGACCAGAGAAGGTTACAACTCTAAATTTTTCCGCCACTCCCAGACTTGCTTGCCCCGTTGAGTGCCAAGGAATGATGGCGAGAATACTGGGGGCCTGGTCCATGATATCATGTCGTCGTCGTCGGATCCACACCCTTGATCCACACATTGTTGAGCACCCAGACCCGCATTTGGATGAACTGGACTGCGCTCAATGTGAGCTCGTGGTCACGGATCCATTTCTGTCGTTGGCATGATGTCAGTGGTGAAATACCTGGGGGAAGCTGATGGAAGTTAACCATCAGCTGGTATACCAGTTTGGGAGTAAACGATTTTGCCCAATATGCACGAGAACGAGGTCGGAGATTGCGCCAACGGTGACGGGCTTCCCGATAGCTATTGCGTGTCAGTGACTATCGTAATTTGCAAAGGGCAATCGCACTCTTCTGCCAATAATGATCTGTGTCTCGGAACCACGTCAAGACCAACACCATCTCCAAGTGGGCAACAGCACTCGAGACGCAGTGCCAGGCCATCGAAAGACTCTACTGTTGTGTCGTTTAAACTCTCGCCACTGTTAAGCTTGTTCCGTGAGAGCGGAACAGTGGGGAGGGCACCCACCGGCCATCAGACACAATATCGGATGGTAGAAGAACGCTGATGTCGTCGTAGCAGGCTGAATCGGCAATAGGAACTGCTTCATGGTAGCTACCAATTGAAGCAGTCCGATATCTAGAAAGTGTCAGTGGGTAATATGCGGCATAGTTATTACACGCACCGAAAAGCAGCCATCTGCAATCTCTGTTGGCGTTGAGCCATGACAGTATCTTGTGAATCCAGACAGTTGTGGCTCGAGCTGGAAATGCTTGAGGGTGGCAGGGACTCGGATAATAGTGCCTGAGCCTGACGCCGGAGCAAGGGGAGTTTGCGCAGATTCCGAGCGCTTTTGGTTTGGGCACTAGACGATCATCCGGATGAGAAAATAGACTTGTATGCCAGAGGTTGTACCGTCGTTGAGCAGCTTGAACTTTCTCGCGTCTTCGAATCTCTTCGGTTGCTAAAGAAGACAATGGGGAACCAATCGAGGCCATGCAACTGACAACATACCGGAGGCGGTAGGCTTCCTGCTTTGTGGGCTTTCCTGTACCCAGCCGCTGTTTGCTGGGCGCTGTGAAGAGATGAGTTAGTAACTAGGAGGTCCAACAATCGGATACCTGATGTGCTCTTAGGGCGTTTGCGTTTTGCCATTCGCAGGGGCAGATGAAAATGCAAAGAGAAGGGTATGACTATTACGGTAGCGAGCACTGTCACACACACACCTTCGTTTTAGCCAACTCAATATTGTTCACCAGATGCTGTATTTAGCCGGGGATTTTTGCGTACATCGACTGCGCTGTTGCTTCCCATCATGAATATCACATTTTCAGGTCCAGTGATAGTGTAGTCCTTGAGATAAATGTGTATAATTTTGTCAGTGACCTTGATTTTCCCTCCGTTTTTCTCTAATTTGGTGGGAATAGTTGCAGTGTCTTGTTATAAAGCTTCTCTGTGTGTTTGTGAAGTATCCGGCGTGCTCAATTGCACATACTCGAGATAATTAGTTTCTACCACAAATGGCAGCTACGTCATAAGCGCTGCATAAGTGCCCGTGTATCGGTATCGGCGCCGAAGATTGTGCTTAGCCAAGCAGACTGTCACACATGGTCACTGCCAGCTCATCGATTTCCTTCCCCCTCATCTCCTCTTCTGTCTCCACCCAGCAAGGGAGACCTGTCACCGCAATGCGAAGTGGCCGCCATTGGAAGCTGTAGAAGGAAGCAACAGCCTTGGTAGGCTTTCTCGTCTACATATCTTGCCTTGGCCTCACCGACCAACCGACCAGGCAGCCAGCGAACAACACTCTCCTTTGTGGCTTTGTGGACTCGCCAGGAGGCGACACTCTCTGATCCTGGTGCGCTATCCATGTACCCTCTTTCGAAGAAGTTATTGATTTATGCCGAGAGTCCTCTTGCAGTCGATTCGATGATGTCGTCGATCTGTCCTTGCGTCTCCTGCTCATTGGCGGTATCCTCGTTCATCTTTCAAAGGTATGTAAATTCCTTACATGAAAGTGATACCCTAATGACTCGTACTCTCTAGTATCACATCGTACTTCGCCGCCTCCTCTTTGGCGACATTCCTCGATAACAAACGACTTCGCAACGGTCCAGTCCTGTAGGAGATGAAGCGACATGCTGGTAACGGCGGGGGGATGAAACAACACTGGCTGGCTCGACTCATTTTCCTCAATGTCCTCCCTTTCCACTCTTCTCCCTACACGTCATTCCATCTCTGCTCCTTGCTCCTTTCCGACTACTTTCGTGCTCCCACCTGCTCTTCCAATCGGACAATATTACCCTCATTTCCAACTACTTTGTGCTCCTATCTCCCCTTCTCTTCCAATATCTCTGTTACTCGATCACTATGTTGCTTTGCCTGCTGTTAGACTAAGTCGTACACTTAATGTAGCCTTAAGATGCGAAAGATTCTTCTTTTGTCCATACAGTACAGCGAACTAAGGTCTCCTCTCAAGCGTGGTCCCTCCATTCGTTGACCAGCTGCTCTGCCTCTTCCTGTGTTGGGAAGATGTGAATAAGACTCTTCATTTGGACGGGGGAGAAAGGTGCGAAGCTAGATACTGATAAGCAGGCGAATGTTATAGTGGCTACGACTCACCTCCCAGTGAAAATCCTGTTCTCTCCTTGCACCACGAAGAAGAGGGCGCTTGACGCGGGTATATAACCCATCGGATTGTTGGTAATGGTCGCAGAATTGGGGCAGCAAAGGCAGATATGCCACAACCATATCCCAGCTAGCTGCAACGAATGTAGGATGTTGGATAGCTTTCCTGAACGATGCAACCATTAGAAGTGGAAGCTATGCAAACAAAGACTCACGGATCGGTGCTCAGCACAGCTTCCGAAGACAAGTACCACTGGCAAGGCTGGACTGAAAGGCTACTAGCTGCCGAAATCGACCCATCTCCTTCGACATCACTGCTGACCAGGTCCGGGATTTCGTCATAGTTGATAACCACGACCTCGGCTGGATCTGGTGCAGGAGAGGGGTTGTTAGCTCTGGTCGAAGAATCATATGAACATCAACAGGATTGTCAGTAACAGAATGACGGTACAAGATCCGGAAATATACCGAAAATGAGTGTCTGGACCCAGCAGCTGAAGTGTGTGGTAGTCCACGTTTATATAAGATTCTCCCTTTTGGAGGTCGGCCATAGTGAGTGCTTGAGCTTGTCGGTCTGGTTGACGGTACAAATATACCGGGAAACCACAGTCTAGGCAAGATTAGGGATGGGTCGCCACATGTACAGACCCCACATGAGCCCCTTGATAAGAGAAGGCGATGCGCTCAGCGTAAACAGTTCTGCTGTAGGTCAAGACCGATTTTTAAAAAATGTGATGGCACATGATCTGCTTTTCCGACTGATCTACCGGAACTGGTGACAATGACCCACCTAAACTCTTCAATGTGCGTTGAGCTGTAGCTCTTTTTTTAAAAAAAGAAGCAGAAGAAGGTTGGCTGCAAGGAAAAGACAATAATTATACCGCCAGCTTGGTTTTGGTTTCATCCAGCTACCCATGCCGCCTCTTCATTTTCGCTCAAGCCAAACGGTTTTCGACGACAGCGACAGCGATGACAACAGCCATCGAGCGCCACAAGCACGGACTGTTCACCTTCGCCACGACGTCACCGTTGTTGCTGACGGTCAACTGCGGTCGAAAACGCACACAATCGAAACGAAAGGCTCTCCTCGCAAGCGTTCCGCCACTCATCAACAGGAGTCCTTTCTTCTGCCTACCATACCACTCGAGTCGGCCACCATCATGAGGATGTTAGAGGCCGGGGACGACCCGTGGGCAGAAGGAGGATTCCAGTTTGACGAAGGGCACCCTCAAGAAAAACGACCCTCACGTCCGTCTGTAGGTTTTGTTCATTATTAGCACTTCCCGCAGACTTACAGGTTTCGATAGGACCGACCTCTTACCCTTTGGCATGAGCGTGACCTCCCAACCTATCTGGACGAGTCATTGCGCTTGGAGGGTATTTCAGGCTCATCCTGCTATCTATGTCAATCGCCAAATGCCCCCTTCCGCTGTCGAGATTGCTTCATGGACTGTGTATTCTGCAAACAATGCCTACTACACTATCATCAAAACCTACCGCTCCATCGCCCCGAGGTACGCTTTTCTTCTTCTTCTTCTGATTGAGCTTTTGACTCATTGGCATAAGCTCTGGAACGGGTCGTTCTTTGAACTCAAACCCCTCAAACAGCTCGGCCTCCGCATCCAACTCGGCCACCCTCCAGGTCAAAAATGTCCCGGCACTCTCGCTCGTGGTACATTGGGAGGGCCTCCACAACACGACGATTTCTGTATTATCGACTGCAATGGCATACACGGTTGCTCTCGACATATGTACTTGTCCCTCAGCCCCCGAGCGAGCTACTCAATTGCTTCGTGCCCGCCTATTCCCGGCGACGTCTACTAGACCGCGGACTGCGGCGAGAGCTTTCAAGTGCTTCGCCTCTTCCATCTTGTCTCTTTTGAAGCGAAATGCTCGCCATTCGAATTCTACAATGCCTTGGCCCGGCTTACCAACAACAACGGCACTTTTCAGCCTCGAGTAAGTCTATGTCCTGCCGCAATTGCGTGAACGGCCATTTTCTGACACTATTCCAAGGATCGTTATCGCGAGTTTGTCACCATGACTCGTGAATGGCGCTTCATCCAGATGGTCAAGCGCCCGGGCAGGGACACGAGACTGGCGGGTGTCGCAATATTCCCGCCGGCGCTTGCGCTCTCCTCTGTCCTGCTTGCCCACAGCCCGGGAAGAATTTGCCCGCCGACGGCAGCTGGAAGAATGGTCCTCCTCACGAAAGATTTCGCTACTCGCTGTTTCTTGCAATTGACGCGAACTTCAAAATGAAACGAAAACAAGTCTCGTCAGAAGGTGTCGATCCTGGCCTCAACCAAGGCTCGGCATTCTTTAGTGATGTCTCTACTTATATGGATCATGTCCGCAAACATTGGGGTCTCGAGCAAGAGGTAAGCTCTACGGTCTGCTTCTCTCAGTACAAGAACTGATCAATACTTAGAAGAGCACTTGCGTTTCGCACGATGCGGTCAACGAGCCCGACCGCGAATCGCGGGACAGCATCATCCGGAATCGGAACTGTTGATTGCGCCCGCCACAACATGAAGCGGCCAAACGCAGTCGGAGACCTTCAAAAAGGCGAACGGTCTGTTCTTTGATGTTCCACTTTTATTGAGCATACCTAATTGCTTGTACAGATACATCAATATGGATTACATGCTTTGGAAAAGCCTTAACCCCGCGGCAATATAACGACTTGGTCGATATCATCGTCTCCTACGACATTGCATGTCAGTGGAGCAAAAATGTGTGGCTCCGCATTGCCAAGTACGACGACCCCTTACGCGACGCAGCCTTGCGAAATCCCACCCGTCGTTTCGTATTCCTCATCCCCAAATTCCATCTTCCGGCCCACATTGAGCGCTGCAACGTCGACTACTCATTTGATCTGACACCCAACGTTGGCCGTACGGATGGAGAAGCTCCGGAGCGTGGTTGGGCGAATGCAAATCCCCTTGCATCGAGCACGAGAGAGATGGGACCTGGAGCTCGCCGCGACACCATTGACGACCACTTCAATGATTGGAACCACAAGAAAATTCTTGGCATGGGGAAATCGCTCTTGGAGAAGATGAAGACGGCGATAACAGAGATGGTGGAAACGAGGATGGAGCTGGCGGAGTTAGAGGCGGTTCTGCCCATGGGTGTCGTTCAAAGCTGGCACGAGGCGATGGAAAAGTGGGAAGAAGACGCGACACAACCAAATCCATTCAGCGTTACGTCAAAAGTGGAGTCTGTACAGGACATACGCGCCAGATTGAAAGATCCCTCGCCGTCGGCATTTTATGAAGCCCTCCAGCATTCAACACCCTCGACGACATCCATGACGACCTCCATGCCGCTGACCTGATCGCAATGGCGCTGACGCTGGAGGAGCAGCGCCACACATTAGCCAGCGATGCAGCCGAGCTTGGAATCCACGCAACGACCATCCAGAAGGCTTCCATTTCGGAACGCGAGGCCAAACTGCAACGGAAATTCGTTAGCTGGTTCGATATCCAGATCAATTTCGCACCTGAAGTCGCCGCTGTACGCGCAGGAGACGACAGCCGCCTCGCTAACTCAGGCGATGTCGAAACTACCCGGGGTTCAACGCTCTACGACATGCAACTACTCTTGCCCTCCTCCCTCATATCGCGTTCGGGTGTTCTTGTCCGGCCAAGCCACGCTTGGTACGAGTTCCAACTGAGGAAGGGCCGAGCTCTTCATCTTCTCGAGGAACTGCGACGGCTGCTGCTGGTTAGAACCCAAAAGTACAAGGCCAAAGACAAGCATGCCTCTGGGGTTGCCGGGCACACGCGAGCAGGAAAGGCGATCCAAGCTATCGATGGGAGGATCAGGCACATTGCCGAGGATTATAGAAGAACGCGCACCGCTTTGTTGAGCCTAACAGAAGTCGTGGGCAACACAACATGGAAAGCGGTCTTGAAGGACCTCAAGCAAGCCGATGTGCGAGCCATGCCTCGTGCTCTCTTTGCAGACCCTGACCATCGCAAGCGCAAGCGAGGGGACGATGACACGCCGAAGGAAATGTCGTGGATTTGGAGGATGGGCATTGGGAGTGTCCCCGTCGAGGTAGCGGTGGATTCGTTGAGTGCTGCAGCTGCGTCAAGCGCGGAGGCTGCCGTTGCGGCCACTAATGAAGGGCTCCGTGTTGAATGGGCAAAACGCGCGCCCGAGCAAAGCGGTGGGCAGAGGAGGTAGAGTTGTTGCAGGAGGAGATGAGAAGGGTGCTCGTATTCTGCTCATGGAGGGCTGGGTGGTGGAAGGAGAGACGAAACCGTCGCGAAGGCCAAGGCTTGGATAGTGCGATCACATCGGGTCTTCGGGCCTACGCTGATCGTCAGGCACACATTCAAGTGGCCTTGCGCACTCAATTTGAAGGCAATTGGCGGGACATCCCCACCTTTCTCGAGCTTGGCCTGAAGCAGGTGAAGCAAATCCATATCGATCGCAGAGCCAATTGGAGGGATGCTCTGATGACTGTTGATGATGACGCGGCGTTCCAGGCTGTTCCAGAACGTCCGGACCAAAATTGATTTCCGATGTCATGTAATTACGCATATGTAATGACTCTTTCTTCCCTGTGACCGATGAAAGGCAGCGACTTGTGCCATCCGCCACGCAAGCAAGCGGCAATGGCTGACGTAGCCATGCCGGAACCACTCACAGCAGTGGGCGCAGCGGACAATTGCAATCGCTAGGAATGCGTCAGCAGCAACCGGGAGCGGGTATTCAAGGGCCGGAGCGCCGCATAGGTGACTGAGCGGCCAAGCACAGCGGGCGGCGGCGAGGGTGACGTCAGCCAGCAGCGGGTAATTTCAGAGCGGGGGAGCGGCCGCTGGGATCGCGGGCAGTCACGGGATCGCAGGGAGAGCTGGCGGCGGCGGCGGCGAAGGTGACGTCAGCAGCTTCAAGGGCAGGGGTGCCCGCATGGGTGAGTGAGCGGCCAAGCACAGCGGGCGGGCGGCGAAAATGACGTCAGCCAGCAGCGGTCGCTGGGATCGCGGGCAGTCACGGGATCGCAGGGAGAGCTGGGGGCGGCGGCGGCGGGCGGGGGAGCGGGTATTCAAGGGCCGGAGTCGGGTATTCAAGGGCCGGAGTTGGGTAACCGGGCAGCCACGTGGTCGGTATCTGGACCCTGGTCCGCCAACTTGATCCTGGTGATCGCAACAACAGGCCTAGTGATGCTTCGTCTCCACACTGCCTCTGACGATGAGCAGCGTTGCTGGCCAACGCCGCTGTCGATGCTGGCCCCAGGTACTGAGTGCAGGTAGGCTGCCAGGCTTTTTTAAAAAGGGTGGGTGACAAACTACTGCGTTTTTTTAAAAGAGTTCGCGATGGCAGTGTGACGGGTTTTTTAAAAAGACCCCCTGCATCGAGTGTTTGGGATGCAGAGTGTGCAGTATTTTGGGATGCAGAGTGCAGTGTTTTCAACGATGTGCAGTATTCTGTTGGCATGTGCAGGATTTCCCGACTAGGTGTGCGGGCCTAATCTCGTCGGTCCCGAGATCGCGCGGGCGGGTCGGGCGCCGGAGGTGGCGGCCGGGGCGCTGCAAGGAAGCTCGGGATATGGCCGTGGGGCGCCGGCGGGGAGTGTGAATTGTTGCCAGCACCGGAGCGGGAGCGGGTCTGGTGCGGTCGCGGGGTATGATGCTGCGCCGCCGCCACCGTCAGGCCCGGGCCTGCGGGTGGGTACGGACGAGGAGGACGCCGCGAGCAATGTGCAGCCCGCAGCATGGCATACTAGTACAGTCTACCACTGGCAGTGCAACTTGAACCCGCGGCTCAGACGGTCATCCCCCCTACCACAGGAAACTCCCGTTTCTCTGCCTCTTCTGGGTTTTGTAGTTGCGAAGAGTGACTTTTTTGCTTGACTCAATGAGAGCTATCCCCGCGATGATGGTGAATGCGGAGGGTTTATCCTTGGTCATGCTTAGTCAGAGTCTTCCCAGTCAGACTCTGACTAATCACTCTTCGGGTAACAATGCCGGTCACACTGTCTTCACCTACGACCTTGACATGAGTGCCTGCTGCCTCCACTGTGTCGTCCGCCAGCTCGGAATACGTGCCGAGCAGTAATGGTCAAGCATCCCCACATGCTCCAGCGGCCTGTCCACCTCCTGCTGCCCGATGCCACACCCCTCTCCCCAAAAGCTCGTTGGCAAGAGTCAGGTCTGTGGCGCTGGAAAAGAGGTGCTTGCGACGAAGGATCTCCTCCCGGGCGCTGACTCTGGGGTGCATAGGTTCAAGGCAAAACTGGTGATTTTTTTATTTTTATTTTTTCCTGGGGGCTGATCAGTCGTGGCTAGCTGTATGTCTATGGCGCCGCAGGAACTGCTGGCTGCTCTGCGGGCTGTGTTTCCGGAGGATGCAGATATCGATTTCAGTGGCTCGTACCCCCCTGGCTGAAGAGGATCCAGGCTTGTCGGACAAGTAGCGGGTGTAGATCGTGGTGATCGATGTGTGGTGCGATGCTAGTGGGGTCTAAGTTCGCGTATGTTTTTTTCTTTCTTTCTTCTTGTTCTGATTGTGATATTTCTTTTCGCAGGATCAAAGACCACCCACCGATCACAGGCAGGCATGAGGGGGCATAAGGAGAGACTGTGATGCGCCCAGGACGGGGGCGGCAGTTGTCGAAGCAGCCCAACACAGACACAAAATCGAGCAATCGATGCAAGTATGCATGGCGGGGCAGCTTGATGGTCGCGTGTGCTGCCAATGAACCACAGCAGGGCCGGATGATTACTGTCCGTCTTCATCACCATTTGCGGCACGAGACTTCTGGCAAGGACCTGCCGGATATCGCAACTTTGTTGGCGATATTGGATATTGGCGGAGCCAGAACCCAGCGGGTTGCAACAACATCAGTTACTCCGTTGACACCCCCCCCATTTTTGGCCCTCATAGACACATCCCTTGGGTCAAGTTGCCTGACCCCAAACCTATTGCCTCCCGCTCGCCTTTCTGTTCCTCTCACCCACCGCTTGCAGCTCGGCAGGTCCGTGAATCATATCATGCTGCTTGCTGTCAGGCACAAGCCAGGCTTGTATTGGGCTTGTCCCTCCTTCCCTTGCCTGCTTTGCGGCTGGCCTACACCCACACCAGCCTGTGCATATGGTGCTGCTGCTCCACATCATTTGGTTCAGTGTGTCTTGTCTCGACATGGCCATTGCAGTGCGCACAGCAGTGGAGAGTAATGGCCCATTGATCACCGCCCCTGCTGCCTCTTCTTGGCTTCAATGACACAGTTGGATTGCAAGGGTTGACAGCTTGCAACTGTCAACCCTTGCAATCTAACTGGATCATTGACTTGGGTTGTTATCACTTTCACCCTCCGCTACTCATGTCCAGTACTCAAAGCAATTGTGGGCAGCTGATAGCTGTACATCCGCTGCTTGTCATGTGCACCGCTGCTTGTCACGTGCACTGCTGCTTGTCATGTGATGCACCGCTGCTTGTCATGTGATGTGCACTGCTGGCCCTTCTGGAACCAGTGCAGGTTTGGTGAGGTAGTGGAATGGGCTGGGCCTTGACATGAGCAAGTCAGTGTCCTTGGCAGGCAGCAAGGAGGAGGTGCGCAGTAGCCAGTCCTAATATCCTATGCTGATCTTCGTGTTAGTCCAAAATGTCCTGTCACTAAGCTGCCTACTGTGGCCACCCAACCAGGTCATGGTGAATGATACACAAGCTGTGAGTGAGATAATCTATATAGCCAATGCTCATTTCTCTTTAGTGTCTGTGTGGCTTTCTTGCTGGTTGTAGAGGGCTTTCCCCCCAGCATGACCGACAGTCTGGTTGTATATGGACTGGCCTCAGCACGACCGCTCCCTTGCTGGTTGTAGAGGGCTTTTCCGCAGCACGACCGACAGTCTGGTTATATCGGGCGACGCCTCAGCACGACCGCTCCCTTGCTGGTTGTAGAGGGCTTCCCCCCAGCATGACCGACAGTCTGGTTGTATATGGACTGGCCTCAGCACGACCGCTCTTGCTGGTTGTAGAGGGCTTTTCTAAAGCACGACCGACAGTCTGGTTATATCGGGCGACGCCTCAGCATGACCGCTCCCTTGCTGGTTGTAGAGGGCTTTCCCTCAGCATGACCGACAGTCTGGTTGTATATGGACTGGCCTCAGCACGACCGCTCTTGCTGGTTGTAGAGGGCTTTTTCACAGCACGACCGACAGTCTGGTTATATCAGGCGACGCCTCAGCACGACCGCTCCCTTGCTGGTTGTAGAGGGCTGAGCCCTAGCTGCTATAATTTGACAAAATATACTAGATGCACTGAGCGAAGCAGATGTAAAGAGCGCTAGCTCTACTGAGCGTATCAGTGCAGACAGGTACATTTGACAACTGGCACCCTCACAAAGGAGTACTGAAAAAAAGGCGGGTGCAGGCTGAAAATTGCCTTATTGGGATGCTTTGATCGGCAATTGATGTGGCTGATGCCTTTGATGGCTTTGGTGATCGGTTAAATATTATAATATATAAAATAGGTGAAAATCAGCAGATAGCAGGCTGATGGCTAGGTGATCCAGCCTGATGCCTTATTGATCCAGTTGATGGAATATTGATTAGGCTGATGGCTGCGTGATCCTACCTGATGGCTAGGTGATCCAGCCTGATGCCTTATTGATCCAGTTGATGGAATATTGATTAGGCTGATGGCTGCGTGATCCTGCCTGATGCCTTATTGATCTGGCTGATGGCTGCGTGATCCTACCTGATGCCTTATTGATCTGGCTGATGGCTGTGTGATCCTACCTGATGCCTTATTGATCTGGCTGATGGTTGGTGATCCTACCTGATGCCTTATTGATCTGGCTGATACAATGTTGATTTGGCTGATGGGATACTGATTTAGCTGATGGCTGGGTGAAATAGCCTGCTATATTCTTGATCTGGCTGATAAACTGTTAATTTAGCTGATGGCTAGGTGAACCAGCCTATTATATTATTGATCTTGATGATATGATGTTCCAGCCTGGTGTATTACTAATCTGACCATGAATCCTGTTTAGTATATTACTGATCTGGCTAATATAATATTTATCTTGCCTTATACCTTATTGATTCTGTTTAATCATTTATTATTGAATTCAGTTGATAGTCACTCAGAGCAACTAATCTAGGCTAATAAAGTAGCTAGCTATCCACATCTGATTAATCCTTCTGTTTGAACACTTAAAATAAATAAAATATTTATTTTATAATAATATACTTTTTTTTCATCTTTATTATTTTATTATCATTCTGCCTAATATCATACTATAATAATACCTAATTATAATTTTCCATTACCCATAAGATTAGTTCAGCCATGGCTGTCACTTCTGGTTTGTAGAGTGATCATGTGTGTAGCTTGGGCCAGCAAGTTTCACCCAAGTCCGTTTGATATCACATGCAGGTTGTCACGCTTCCTCTCTGATCATGTGTGTAGCTTGGGCCAGCAAGTTTCACCCAAGTCCGTTTGATATCACATGCAGGTTGTCACGCTTCCTCGGTCCTGACTCTAAATTTCACCAAGTCCGTGTGATCAC